TTTCAAATATAACATAAACTATTAAGAATCCCAACTGGTGGGAGGCTGACCAGTTGACTATTTACACAACACGGTCGGGGAGTTGAACTTGGGGCTAGCGAGAACAAATCCAGATAGTGGTAGGGCGGAGGATTTGAACCAGGGACCTCCAGATTTCAAATCCAGAGCCCTAAACCACTCGGCCATGCTGCCTCCCTATTGTATGATTCTTCTAAAACCATCCTCTTGCAATGATTCTGTGGCACACTCGTATTCTGCCTCAGCGATTGATCTGGAGGATCTTTTTCCATGTGTGAAGGCTCTGTAGGTTACGGCTGGTCCAGGTGACAAAAGGATGCTCTCATTGACTGCTTTGGTTGTGGGTTGCTGGATGGTTTTATCACAAATAGAATTGGTGATTTCTTTAAGGAACTACTGTAGAGGAGAATAAGTTAGAATTACACTGGACATAGGGTAGGAAGAAATGTGGTTTCATTGGGAAGTCGGGATTCATTCACAGTTGAACAATTAGTTCGCTATTTATCAAATAGGCTATGTTCAAATTGCTTCCTACAGACTATTTTAGCTGGTTATTGGCAAAGTTTATAAATGTTGTTAGTTTGGGCAGGACAGGTAAGAAAGAAAGACCTTTAAATGATCAATGTGGTGGAATTATGGAATTATTTTTAATAGGGTTGAGAAATTGTAAATTCAGGTTGAACCACCGTGCAGTGAAATAAAAGCTTCCAAGTTTGCCATAAATTTGGGGAATAAATTGTAAAGTTTCGCACTGAAAAACATTGCACTTGATAAAGAAAGCATTTAAGGAAAAGTCAGACAAAATGTGAATTATTTTTATAAACTTCTGTAGCCTTACCTGACACAGGATTCCCTTCTGACTTTCAACATGCTGAACAAAGGCTGAGGCGTTCTCCATCGTTGACTTGCTTATTTGGGTTGGAGGTGCCGTGGAAGTTACACCAGCGAGCATTTTGGCCATTACATGATTGAGTACGTGTAGTGCTGCGGCTAGGCAGGGGATAAGCTCTGGTGTCTTGGATTTTGGAGGCACTTTCCCTTCCTGAACAGCTTCATTTACCTCTACGACAAAGTGGTTAATGGTCTCTTCTAAAAGGGCGATTACATCATCTTCAAATGTGCACTCTGTATTGTGGTCGATATTATTAATGACCTGAAATACATGTAGTTCATTAAAATCGCTCATAACTTTGGTTGATAGGTTGGTTTTAACAGTCTCCGTTTCCAAAAGGGTGGGCCTGAAAGTTAGAGGAGTGGCAAATAAAATTCTATCGATTTGCCCATGGCCATGGTCCATCTTCGCAATGAGTTTGGCAGCATTTAACAGTTGTGTTGAGCCAAGAATGCTGGAAGCAGTGTTTGCTGGTATGTGTCTTATGTCCTTGGTTGAGTAGTGGTACAAAGAGCACTTGCCAGAGAACAATTTGCAGAGTAGTTGGACATCTCCCGTGGCATTGTCCTCATCTGATTTCATCAGTTTGTTTATTATGTCAAACACCTCCATAGATAAGAGTATGGCTTTCTTGTTCTGGGCCAGATGCTTGGTTAAACCTGACGAGGTTGTTTTGCTCAGTACTGATGAGGTTTGGTCAGAGGTTTTGAGGGGATCTTGGGCTGCATGCTGTATCGCCGACGATTTTCCTGTTGTAGAAAGGAAAAGTGTTGTTTACAGTTATGAACAAATGAAAACTGCGATAACAAAAGGGTAGGGTTAAGTTGGGATTGGAAGTGAGTTATAGAAGACGGGCTAAATACTATTATACCATGCAACTTAGGTAAAAGTTAGGAACGTGTTGGCGATTTGAAACAACCATATGGTGAAAACAAAAGTTTAAGAACAGTTTCTTAGAATGTTAATCAAGTGGTTAACGCAACCATAAATTATCCGTTTATGAAAATCAATCATTGAAAAATCGGTCGTCACAGATTTAATCTTCAGCCTTATTTGGTTATCATACAGAAGGTAACTAGTCAGTGTCTTTGTCCTCAACCTCTTCGTTGTCGTCGTCTGTGGAAAGTCTTGTGCGATTGAGGACTATCTCCAGCATTCCCTCGATGTCTTCAATGGTTGGCTCTTTGCAGTCCTCAACCACATCTAAAGGGACCTCCTCAAAAGGCAAGGTAGGGGCGGCAAGACTCTTGCACTTGTTCTGGAGAGCTTTCCTTAGGGACTCGTGCACAAGTTTTAGCTCTCCCAGTGCTGTTTTTGCAGCCATTTCTCTGCAATTTTTTTCTTTTATTGGGAGGTGGTGTTGCTAGCGTCGTTTAGTCTTCGAAGTCTTTCATTGACTTGCAACAGTTCCCGGTGGCTAGATAAGGTTCTCTGTACGTTTGCGTCAACTGCTCCTTTTTTTTGTTTTTTCATCATGGAGTATTCTGTGGCTTCTTCCTTTGCCTCTTTATCTTGGGTGTTGTTGGCCTCGACCACCAAAACGACAGTTTTTTTAGCATCCAGGTGGTGTCGATGACTCCATGAATGGCAGTCGCTTTCCACTTTTTCAACGCCCTGTCCTGGCACAACTCCTCTGCCTTCTCATTCCAAAACTTTCTTCTTATTTTCTCCAATCCTTGAGCCTCACCAATTTCTTTACTAGACAAGAGCTTCGCTTTTCTCT